AAAGTGTCCAATGAGAACATTGTCTCAAAGTACACAAAAAATGGAAACTGGAAGACGCGCAGAAAGTACTATTTTCCTTATTAAGCATAACCTGCCACACACAACTTTATATCGCCCACTTATTGACTTGTGCATAGACCTTGGTGCATCAAACTTGGCAATGCTGAATCACAGCAAAAATGCATCACACTATCATGGAATCATTATTCATACAAAATTCATTATTAATTATAACCACTACAAGCGATATATTAGGATTTAGATATTAGGAAAATATAAATATACAATATTAGTTTCATCATGTATCAGTAATAGCTTAGAGAAAGACTCCAGTCAAAAGTAGTAAAACTCAAATCACAGACATACTATTGAAAATGGTGTAAATTCTGGCTGCACAATTTCACAGATGTTCAAGATAAAAACCTAGCCTAAGGTATCAAGGACTCAAGCTGTTACACAAACCTTTTAGTAAGACAAAGTTATGTCTAGACGATTTATTGAACTGCTTTGATAAAGTAAACATGTCATCATCTATATTACAATAACTTCAAGCAAACACCAATTTAGGGTCCAGAGTAAACGCATCTATTGTAATCCAAGCATCTATAAATGACATGTCAAAGTAGGCTCGTTAAGATCTTGCCCAGGGTAAGCATCCAAGTGTAGCAGCCTTAAAATTTCCGAGTCCCGTGCTCAGATTCGAACCACAGACTTTCTATTCCTAAGTCGGACGCCTTTTCCACATGACCAAAGAGGTTAACCCCATCAGCAAGTTGAACACGCACTCCGAGGTAGTTGTTGTTGCTGAATTGCCATCAGCACTTGTTTGGTAATGTTAGCTACAAAATCTGGTTGTTGAGCGAAGGGCTGGGCTAGAGCAAAGGCTTGCTTCTGCGTAAAAGGTTGAGCCTGCAGCAAAGTTCTGTGACTGTAAGAATGTCTACGGCTGAGTGAAGAGTTAAGCCTGTGTGAAGGGTTGATTGTGCACTAAAGGTTGAACCTGTGAAAACATCTGAGGCTGTGTAAAAAGCTTGCAGTTGACCAGGAGTGTGCTCTTGAAACATTGCCTGCTCAAAAGTCTGCTGAGAAGCAGGGTTAGGATGAGATGGCATTCACTGCGCGAAGACTGGAACCTGCGTCAAGGCGCTAGGGTTGCGAATGCATGAAGGTCTGAGACTGTCGGTAGGTATGAATCTGCGCGCAGGATGTCTTCTGTGTTGTCTGCGTGGAAGGCGTATGTAAAATCACTACTTCAGCTTTAGTGTTCCCCCTAGGCACATTTAGGAGGGTGCTGTGCCCTGCCCTTTGATTTTTGCGCTCTGCCCTTTTTGTTTTGCACCCTGCCCTTTTCGCCTCTGAGACTGTTTTGAGAATGATTAGGAAATTGGCATTTAAACCATGGAATATAATTCTCCGTACGAATCACTATGCCTACCAAGGAAAAAATCAAAAGAAAAAGAGAACAAGCGGTGAAGGTCGAAGAAGTCACTGCAGTCGCCAAATAGATTTCTTCGTTCCGAACCTGTATGTGCCTCTAAGTTTGATTTCCCTTTCCTTTTCACATGCCTTTCAAATAAAACCTTCATTTATTAAAGACAACGATCTGTGGACTACATGGGATGTTTTTGTGCGTTTGGGAGACTGATATTCATGCATCTATGCTGTTTAGGTGAAAATCTAAAATTCGAAAATGTGAATCCATCAGCAATTTGAAATTGATCTTGAATTATTTTGTTGTTTGTCCTGGTGAATGAAATAGTTAAATCAGATTGCATACATACTGTTAACACATATTATTTTTTGAGTGTTTAGTAGCGATTTCATAAACAAGTAAGCCTTGAAGGAATAAAACTATTTTTCACGATTTCAAACAATGGGAAGCCACACTCCTTGTCGAAGCTCTTCACAGTAGATCCTTATGTTGAGGTGTATTCTTGTGTGATATTTTTGTAAAATAATTATGATTTCAAATTTATTATCTAAGAATATTTTGAATATGGTATATAAAAACTGTATATATTTTTTTCAGACCAAGACAGAGTCAGTTAATCCAACAAAGAAGAAAGATGGTGGTCACATGACTGCATTTGACACAAAGTCCCTGGTCCCTCAGAAGATGACAAAAAGAAAGCAATGATGTTTTGTTCATATGCTCTAAGTGGAACACCAAGGGCAGAAATGGATCTCAGGTTTGGGCAGAAGTTGGATGTGAGACTGTCAGACTTGATAAGGTTTCCCTCCATGAGAATGCATCAAGACACAGTCCATATGGAAAAGGATGACAAAGTGTCCAATGAGAACATTGTCTCAAAGTACACAAAAAATGGAAACTGGAAGACGCGCAGAAAGTACTATTTTCCTTATTAAGCATAACCTGCCACACACAACTTTATATCGCCCACTTATTGACTTGTGCATAGACCTTGGTGCATCAAACTTGGCAATGCTGAATCACAGCAAAAAATGCATCACACTATCATGGAATCATTATTCATACAAAATTCATTATTAATTATAACCACTACAAGCGATATATTAGGATTTAGATATTAGGAAAATATAAATATACAATATTAGTTTCATCATGTATCAGTAATAGCTTAGAGAAAGACTCCAGTCAAAAGTAGTAAAACTCAAATCACAGACATACTATTGAAAATGGTGTAAATTCTGGCTGCACAATTTCACAGATGTTCAAGATAAAAACCTAGCCTAAGGTATCAAGGACTCAAGCTGTTACACAAACCTTTTAGTAAGACAAAGTTATGTCTAGACGATTTATTGAACTGCTTTGATAAAGTAAACATGTCATCATCTATATTACAATAACTTCAAGCAAACACCAATTTAGGGTCCAGAGTAAACGCATCTATTGTAATCCAAGCATCTATAAATGACATGTCAAAGTAGGCTCGTTAAGATCTTGCCCAGGGTAAGCATCCAAGTGTAGCAGCCTTAAAATTTCCGAGTCCCGTGCTCAGATTCGAACCACAGACTTTCTATTCCTAAGTCGGACGCCTTTTCCACATGACCAAAGAGGTTAACCCCATCAGCAAGTTGACACGATGAGGATGTCATCTGTGGGATGACTCCACGCCCTGCTACATACTCCCCCGTCAACAGAAGGCACGTCCCGAGCCGCTTAGTTAGTTGGGTACTGAGACTTATTTTGCTCAAATTTGATATGAACGTCCTCAGCCCCACGACGGGCGCCAATGTAGCGGCCTTAAAATTTCCGAGTCCTGTGCTGGGATTCGAACCACGGACCTTCTATTCCGAAGTCAGAAGCCTTTTCCACATGACCAAAGAGGTTAACCCCGTCAGCAAGTTGACAAGGTAAGGATGTCATCTGTGGGATGACTCCACACCCTGCTACATAAGCATTCAGTAAAAGTGCCAACGAGACTAGTGCCAGTTGAAATAGGATTAGCAGGATTAAGTACTCCCCCGTCTGGTCATTGAAGTTGTTTTAGTAGGACACACCCCATTTTGTATATTCTGTATTTCATTGGTTAATGTAGGGCACACCCATTTTTGTATCAGTCAACCAATCGTAATCTCTTTATTGTTTTAATTGTTGATAAAAAGTTTGAAAACCAAATGATGGCCAGTAGGGTTTAGACTCCCAACACAGGTCAGCTTTAGCCCTCAGCCCAGAGGGCCCGGGTTGTACCGACTCTCTGTGGCCACCCCATGTTATTCCATTCTTGTAAATAAAATTGTGATTAGCTTCTTGTGACTTCGGACTCTTTGCTGAGTTAATTCCACCAAGCAGACCAGCACGCAAGTTAGATAAGGGGTTTCACCGGAACCCTCACTTGGACCCAAGACCCTTATCATAACAACACACTGGATACAGGACAGTGCAGGAGTTCATAGAATGCCAAGCTGAAGTTGATGAAGAAACAGTTGTTGGGAAGATAAAGGATAGCAGTTCATTTGAACTAATGAGAAATGAACTTTAGAATTGAAATTGAATTGAAATTATAAGATCATTTGACTTCACAAACTAAATTAATGAGCGGTAGTGTGTGTAAGGATGCGAGGAAAACCACCCAACCATCCGCGTGGGTAAAACTGGAGAGATTGACAAGCAGCCAGCGGTCATGTGGGTAGCTGGCGCTCAGCCTCGGAGAGGCCCATTTGGGGTGAGCTATTTTTGACTGTTCATTAGGTAACAATAGGACAGAGGTTTCCACTAGGATTTGGAAAGAAAAGGGAATGTAAGCAATAACGTATGAGTAAGGATAAGGAAAAATTAACTTTTATTTCATTCTGTCAAATCTTCCAGTAATTCACTATTCTTCTTACACAATTTTCCTCTTCTTTCTAACCTTGAAGGGATGCTTCTATTTACATGAATTGAGTCAGGTAATTCAGTACAAGGAACCTCTTCATAGAAATGCTGAAAGCATGGTTTTAATGGCACTCATATGACTCCGGAAGTAAGTCTGACATATCCACAAAGTGCGCCCAGACTTCTGACTGGCTCAGATTGATGCATGCACCAAGTTTTATTGACAGAATGGATCAGTCTATTGAGAGAAAGTAAGTCAACAATCATGGCAACAGACAATTGTCTGTAGATTTGTGGCTGGGACAGTCACCAAGAAATATTTGGCAATGGCCTCCCTTTAGAACTCAGCACAAAAACCTTTACAAATTAATGGCATAATGCCCTTTTGAAAAACATTTACAAGATCAAGGAAGCCCTGATGTATCAGTGTATCAACAGGTTTGACAGAGGTCAGCAACTGTGCACTAGCTCCTCCCAGTGATATATAATCCCTTTGAGTATTTTTACTGAAAAAGCCAAGTGATTTTAGGAGTTTCACATACTTTTTACCAAGAACAGAGGCCCATGTATTAGCAAACATCAATTGGAGTAAAACATTATCATTTTCAACATATCCATTCTTATTCTGTTGAAATTAAATTATTTTCTCCTATATTGCAAGGATCTTTAGTCCTTGTGAGCTAAAATATAAAGGGATACTCACAGTAACAATCCTTCCTGCGTTGAAACTGATGCCATCCCCAACACGATCTTGAAAATCAACCACAGTTATGTAATTATCTGGTTTTTCTTGGATGTTGATATCACAAACCATGATGGTCTTGTTCTGAAATTTAAATACAAAATCTATGACATATGTATATACTGAAAATCTTACAGGAAAACAGGTGATTAATCACTGTCTGACAGACGACATTACCATAAATTATGTATATTTTATAAAATGGTCAATGGGCTGACTCCTAAATACCTATCTTTGTGGGTCCCAACTAATATATCCAGCAAAACATGATACAGACTTCATAACTCTAACGACTTTCAGACAAACGCAGGGCGCTTATCCCAGTAAGGTGTAATTTTTCAAGGGAGTTGCTTTGTTCTTTACTACAATTGTCCCAGATGTGAGAACAAAGAGAGGAAGAATAAATGGTTTGTAAATAGTGTCTAAGCTCTTATGATAATCGATATTTCAAGGACCTAAAGCAGTTGATAATTAGGGATACTTTCTTGATTATATCTGTAGGATATTGGTCTGTAATGGTTGTTCCCAGCTGTTAAGTTAGTACTGTCCAGATGTTAATCACGGAAGTAGGAGAGCGGAAGTGGTGCGTTTTTTGTCGGTTGTGAGATGGTGACCAGTAAACAATGTCAACCGATCTTGTCTCTTGTTATCGCCGAGTAGTTCAGGATTGAAGGGTCTACTGACAAGTAGATAAAACAGATAAATGGCGACGAGGATGGGATCCACGGATTCCTGGTTGTAAGTCTATGAAGGATACGTGTTTCATAGTGAACTTTTCACTCGAAGTGAAGTGATGTTACTGGTCACCATCTCGGCGCAAAAGGGACCACGTGACCCGACCATGTGCTTTCGTGGGAAGCTCGTTGACTAACATTAATTGTTATTTTACTAAGGCGGAATATCCACAGAAAAGTTAAAGTGAGGTTGCAATAATCTACGTGAACATTGCATTATATATTCTACATGAATATATTGAAAAAGTACATGTATTCTACGTGAATGCAGTATCAATGTTGGAACTTTGGAAAATATTCTAGGTGAATATTATGAATAATTGTCACTTGTCAAAGAGAAGTTTCCTCATTTAGACGGATAACGTGAACTTCTGTGAATCTGTGGGTCATTAATACTGTTGCTGGTTTCAAGTGTGAATCATGAGTCAAGACGAAGGCCCAGGTGACCAAGGAGTGCCTCAAGTAAACTTTTCACTTATTCCTATTCCTAAATTCTCTGGAAAAAAAGGAGGATTTTAGTATCTATGCAGAACGTTTCATCTCAAGCATGGAAGCTAACAAGATCACAGATGCAAAACGGATTACCCATACACTTATCTCAACAATGGGTGGTGAATTGTATAAACTGGCACATGACTTGTTCGCACCTGTCAAGGTGTGTTCACTCAAGAGTGAGGACATCATTGAGAAATTAACACAGCATTTGAACCCTCCTCCGAGCATCATTATTGCTAGATGTAACTTCAATCACTTGTCACAAAGGCCTGATGAGACGGTCAATGAATACGTTGCTAAGTTACGACGCATAGCAGAAGACTGCAGTTATGGTGAGAATCTGAACATGTGGCTGCAAGATCATTTTGTGGCAGGTGTGCACAGTGAAGTGATACGTCGGCGACTGTTACAGGAGGATGCTAAGATGACCTTCGACAAGGCCTATCAACTTGCAGCAAGTCTGCAGCAAGGTCAAGGACATGCAGTGAATAAGATGATACATAACAAGGGCAATAAAGGCCGTGGATTCAAGAGGGACCAGATGGATAAGAAGCCAGGTAACAATGGTAACAAGGGGCCAGAGACTGAGCTTAACCAGTGTACTCGTTGTTTGTTGACTAGGCACTCTCCACCGAACTGTCCATATAAGGATACTGTTTGTAACTTTTGTTGCAAGAAAGGACACTTGATACGAGCTTGTAGGAACCGCTCGAACAGAAATCAATCTCAAGTTGGTAAGACCAACATGGTGGATCACTGTACATCAGATGAATTCACAGAATTGTACATGGTGTCCTCAGTTAGTCAAGGTGGAACACAGAAAATAAAACAATCAAGTGGATGACAGAATGGTTGAATTTGAAGTGGATACAGGATCAAGTGTCACATTGATAAATCAAGGGATGTATAGTTCCTTGTTCCCGGACAAAGAACTTTTGGAAAGTTCATGTGTACTGAAGGCTTATAATGGGCAAAGCATACCTGTAATTGGACAATTACAGGAGCTGTAATTGGACAATTACAAGATACTGGACTTATCTCTCATTGTAGTGGATGGTACAGGTCCAGCACTACTGGGTCGAGACTGGCTACAGCATATGATGTCATGGCAACACATGTTTACGAACATTATTGCTAATTCCTCGCAGAAGGAGGATGTCACCGAGATATTGAATGAATATCAGGAAGTCTTTGATGAAGGACTTGGACATTTGAAGGACTTTAAAGTCAGATTGTCAGTACAAGACAATGCTGTTCCGGTATTCTGTAAGGTCAGGAATGTACCTTTAGCTCTACGCCAGAAGGTAGATGCAGAAATTGATAGGATGGAGTCCGAAGACATCATAAGGAAGGTTAGGTTCTCACAGTGGGCTACTCCTGTGGTTCCAGTGGTTAAACCATCAGGTGAGGTTCGTCTCTGTGGAGATTATAAATCAACTGTGAATCTGTTCTCCAAAACGGACATTCACCCGATTCCAAAAGTGGATGAACTGCTAGCAAATCTGAGTGGTTGTGAAGAATTTACGAAGCTAGATCTTCGTCATGCATACCTACAGTTGGAACTTGACAAACCATCAAAAGAGCTGACAACCATAAATACAACAAAGGGTTTGTATCAATTCAACAGATTGCCATATGGTGTAAGTGCAGCACCTGCAGTGTTCCAACGAACAATAGAGATGGTGTTGAAAGGATTGATAGGACTTGTAATTTTCATGGATGACATATGCATAACAGGCAGAACCTGTACTAAACAGGTATCATCTGGTGGCCCTACTTGGACCGTGATATCGAGAATCTGGTCAGGGGATGTTTAGATTGTCAGGAGGAAGCCAATCATCCAGTATCAGTCGTGCCTACCCCTTGAAAGTGGCCATCATCTCCTTTGACTAGACTGCACATTGACTTTGCAGGTCCTTTCATTGGACACTCATTTCTCGTAATTGTGGACGCTCACTCCAAATGGTTGGAAATATATCAGATGAGGTCTACCACTGCTACGATCACGATCAAGCATCTTCACCGATTGTTTGCTACATTTGGACTGCCACTCCATATTGTTTCTGACAACGGAACCCAATTCACATGCCAGGAGTTCCAAACATTCTTGCGTCGCAACAAAATACGACACACCACAACTGCACCTGCCCATCCGGCTACTAACGGACAGGCAGAAAGAGCAGTAGCATCTTTCAAACAAGCCATGAAGAAAATGAAGAATCAGGATGGTGACATTGAAGATAAATTACTGAGATTCCTATTCTCTTATCGCACCACTCCTCACTCGTCAACAGGAAAAACACCTGCAGAGTTACTCATGAAACGTACCTTGAGAACTCGACTCTCCGCACTCAGGCCTGCAAAGGAGAATGATATGTCTGTGAAGGAAGACCCTCACCACAATGCGCCCAGATACTTTGAAGTAGGACAAGCTGTATTTGTCCGTAACTATGGTGTTTACGGAGCTAGATGGCTAATTGGCACTATAGTTGAAAGACTAGGGGACAGAAACTACCAGGTTTCTGTAGGAAGTCAAGTGTGGAAAAGAACGTAGACCAAATCAGGTCAAGAGACATAACTACAGGATGTAGATTGCCTCTTGATCCATTCATTCCGCACATTCCGGACCAAGATATTTCCCAACGATGAAGGTCAGAGAGCATGTTATCTAGCAACCAGCCAAAGCAGGCAGAGAGCAACCTAGCACCACCTCTAACAGTTGTTCAGGGGAAGAGTTTGACTGCACCATGTGGGAAGCCAGCTGCGACACTAGCTGCTGTTGACGAACCCCGTCGCAACCCTCCCAGAGATCGGAGAAGACCAGCCCGATTCAGTGACTTGTAATAATGAAAGAGTGTATAGAACGCTAAAAGTGTGAATGTGTTCATTCATCGTGTTCTGCAAGATATTTTGCCAGTGAACAGTATTAAGTTCAAAAATGAGTGCGACAGATTGAACTCTAATTTCTCAAGTGCAGATGCACATTTCCTTTTGATGTCATGGACATTACATTACTTGAGAAGGTGACAGAGGACTTATTGGTCTTAAGAGGGAAAAGTTTATTTTTTTTTGTTTTTGTACCTCTCGGAGGAAATAGTATAAAAAACTAGAGGGGGTGATGTAGGATATTGGTCTGTAATGGTTGTTCCCGGCTGTTAAGTTAGTACTGTCCAGATGTTAATCACGGAAGTAGGAGAGCAGAAGTGGTGCGTTTTTGTCGGTTGTGAGATGGCGACCAGTAAACGATGTCAACCGATCTTGTCTCTTGTTATCGCTGAGTAGTTCAGGATCGAAGGGTCTACGGACAAGTACACAACAATATCACTAATGTGCTCATGCCAATTACAGTTGCTTTGCAATGTTAAACCAAGATGTTTATGATGAGAAACTTCTTTAATGTTGAATGTTAATTATTCATGTGAAAATTAAGAAGTCTAGTGGTTGGTTGTTTGCGTGAAAATAATATGCTTTCAGTTTTGTTAGGATTGAAAACGACATTCCAATTTCTAGCCCAATTAACAATTTTTTCTAAGTCATTATTAAGTAAGTAGCAGTAACATCAGGGTTATCAACAATAACATAAAGGGATGTGTCATCAGCGAATAAACGGATATTACTATCAATGTTAAAGACTTAAGTCGTTAATGAACATGTATATCAAGAATAATAATGGGCTCAAAATGGAGCCATGTGGTACTCCTGCATTAACACTGAGGAAATCAGATCGAAATCCATTTATAACAACATGTTGTTTTCTATCTTGCAAATAACTCTTGAACCATTTCAGCAAAGAGCCTGAAATCCCTATTTTTTCTAGTTTATAAATCAGACCTTCATGCCAAACTTTATCAAATG